TGAGAACATATTTACCAGCAGAGAGATACGTGTGTGTGTGTGTGTGTGTGTGTGTGTGTGTGTGTGTGTGTGTGTGTGTGTGTGTCAAAGGCTGTTCTTGTCTGTAGCTTTGTGTCTATTCGAAAAGAGGGAAGCCTTGGCCCTCTACTTTAGAAATGGAAGCGAAAGTGCCTCATGAGTTGTAGAGAAGCTCCTCGCAGTCATATCCTCGAGTCATATCCATCCATCCGTTTAGATTTTTGCATTATATTTCTGAGTTTGTTGTCCTAGACTCTAGGACAACACAAGCAGATGTAGATGTTTGAGGAGTTAGATAGAGCATTGCATGAAGTCTGTTGATGAGTTAGAGGCTGTTGTCGGGGCTGCATAAACATTTTTTTTTTAAATGTGTAGGCAGACCATGCAGGCCAGCCCGATGGTCACCAAGGTTCGTGTTTGAATAGCATTTTTAGAAGAAGAAAAAAGCCCAGGCGAGCCTAACGTGAAAAAAGGGCTTCGACCTCAGAGAGTTAAACTTGGGCTGCGACTATAGTTTTACTGTATTTTGTTTTGAAAATCCACAGCAGAGGTTTGTGTCGTACTACATGCGGTCTATTTTGCATATCTCTCAGTAGCCAACGATCAGTGAGTGTTGGCTCGGACATAAACTCCGTAATAAATGTAGTCTACATTTCATAAGAGGTGTAAAACCTGTGAGCATTTTAAATCGCATTTGAACTAAATGCTTATAATCTGTAATTGTATTTGTATTGTTGACTTAATGTGTGAACGAGGCGATATAGAGAAGGTCACGTTAAGCTGTCCTTATTGGGCTGTAATTTGTCTACTGTTGGAGTGGTAAGCAGGCCTATTGTTTTTGGATATTTGGGGAGTAAGGTGGTCCGTGAGTGTTTTTCTATTGGTGAAGTGGTCCTTTGTATGAAAAAGTTTGAGAAACACTGTCCTAGAGAGCATAATATCATATTCAGTCGTTCTGTTTACCGTCTGTTTAGTTAGTTAGTTTAAGACCTTCATGTAACTGCAACAGCACGGGTTTCAAATCAGTTGTTGAGGGTTTTAAACTGCCTCTTTAGAAAGATGCAAAAAGAGTGCGTGAAACATTCACAATAAAAGGCTTTCTGCATTCTGAACTACTTGATTAACTAGTTAAGCCCCGAGCCTGTTTTTCAGGCCTCAGGCTCGAAAATGACATTCCCAGAACAATTGACTATTATCTTCACTTCTAAAAGGGGTAAATTAATAATGTTTTTTCTCAAAGCAATGATAAACCTGTGAGTTGGATGTAGAAGAGTCAGAATCAATATAGCATTTTTTATTTTAAAGTAAATTCAGATTGAACATAGTAAAACATTTTAAATTATTGTGTCCGTCCCAAAAAAAATCATTACTTATAGTGAAAACCACACTTGAATGATGGGATAGTAGACTAAAAGCTTTAGGAATCCAAACTACAACATATAATAAGTTCCCTGTATCAAGATTGATGCAAAATAAGTGACATTTGACCTTTTTAGAAAGATTTAGCACAAAGAAACCCACTTCTGGGGTCATTTGGGTGCATTTTCCATATCTCTGGCCCCCCTCGGTCGATTTTGATGATTGACACCTCTTTTTAACCGTTAGAGCCAATAGAATCGAGGAGAAGTTCCTAAAATCCATCTAAACATCACCCATTAGTGAATGAGTGATGCGTAGCCAGAATGCCCATTACCGGAAGCTGTCATACACTCTCGTAGCAGCTAATATGACATTTTCCATGAGTTCTGTGCTAAGTGCGTTTTTTAGCTCAAGGCTAATTCAGAGCCTTTGTCATTACCCTTTTGTTTCGTTTAGCTAAAAATGGTTAATATTGTCTGAAAGATGAGTTTCTTCCCGGTAAGTGAGTATGACACATTTATAGTTTATTAAATGTTAAGAAGCCCTCAGATGCTGTTTCTTGCAAGATGTTGCGTCATGCCCCCGGTACCGGGGGCATAAGATATTTTAAGCAAGAATAATTATATGATTTATCATGTTTTGTTCTTTATTCTTCTAAGAAAAAACATATGTCATGTTTTAAGATTGGATATTAGTTTAAAACAATTGTGAAACTCATTGACTGTGCCATAGAAAAATAGTTTGTCATGACTGACGGAAATAAATTGTCTATACATTTTTTCTGACTGGCTGCTGGTCAATAGCTTGATTGATCAGTCAAGAGTCAATATTCCCATTGCACTCCTTCCTCTATGCTGTGAGTGACAGACACAGACAAAAGAAAACTGTCTGGGCTAAGAACACAGCCTTTTTCTTTGAATATCTTCAAATATCATGTTGGTTCATTGAAAGGGATCGTTTTTCTTAATTTTGACGTAATTCAGTAAAATATTTGTCGTTGACTTTTATTGACATTTGACTCTGGTGCATAGGCATCAGCCCAGGCAGTCTTTGGTCAGTGGACATCATCAATGAGCCGCAGCAGCACAAAGAGCCTGAAAGGTTTCAAACACAATACAGCACTCAAAATAAATGACTTTTCTAACTTCAATTTGGTGAAACTGGAACTACAGTTCCAATAATGCTTCAGGGGATGCAACCAGGAAATATAATGTCTCTGGATTTAGTATTCTGTGGGCTACACCTTGAGGGTTAGGGTTAATCCACCTTGGATTAGCTCTTCTGTAGTTCCTGTTTGCTCTGTAAGAATGGAAGTGTAGACAACAATTACTACTTACAGGATAAATGCTAAGTACGATGTTTTTGGGTTAGGAGAATTATTTTCAAGGATTTCAAAGTGAATACCAATTTAAATTCACAATGAATGTTTAAGATACCTTCATCACTGGAAAGAGTAAGTTGCACTGTCCTAGAGTGTTTGTTTGTCAGTTATGGATCTGAGAATAAGGGGTGTTTTTATTTTTAAATGTGGACCCCATTGATATGAATCAAAAGAAAACAAACCATCAATTGTGGGTAACATTTAAATCTACATCCCCCTCTTCTGCCTCCAGATCCAGATAGCAAGGTAGTGTTTAACACAGTTCAAGAAATATTGGAAAGGTTTACACGTGTCCTAACAGGTTTTTATTAATGAGATTAAAACCCAAGGACTATGCGTATCTAATATAATCATGTTTATAGATTAAGAGCCAAATCTAATTAAAGCAATCGGAGAATGCTGTTGACATGGGCTCTGTCTCACATGCAGTATTGACTTAATCAAATTATAATCAAATTTCTGTTGTACATGGAAACGTGGCTTGTGTGAGTGTTGTCTGTTTATAGATATTGTATTTCCGTTTCCACCGTAGGAGGACTCGCAGGGTCATATACAAAGACAAAAGTGGAAGAGCCAATTTCCCAACACCACCAAAATGACTTGTTCATTTCTTATATGCTGGAAAAACCTTATCTTCTTTGACTGGAGGACAATCAGGATCAGAATCAAGTTTGTCTAGCAAGTTTCCCCTTATTTCAATCTGGCTTTTGCCAAAATCATAGAACTCAAACTGTGGCTGAGATTAAAAAATGATAGCCTTGGACTCCATCTTGGTCTTACTAAGATTATTCCATCGCTGCTTTTGATACCCTTGATCATAACATCCTCAAATGAATTGAATTTTGGGGTTGGTATCTAATATTTAGCCCCCTTGTCAAACATAACATTTTGAATATTGTCTTTTTACTTGATCCACACTTGAAATTGGAACACTTAGAATGCAAAACATTTAACAAATTAGACTAATTCTCGTCTCAACTTCTGCAATTCCCTTATCCCCATAGCCAAAAGAGCTGGCCTGTCATCAGCTTGTTCAAAATGCAGAGGCCCTTAACTAGAACCGGTTATAGATTTCACATCATTCCTTTTTAAGCCTCGCTGCATTGGCTGCTCTTAAAGTTCAGGCTTAATTTTAAGATTCCTTTAATCACTTACAACGGCTTGGTATGGGGGGGGGGGGAACTGAATGCTGAATGCATTTTGTGTAAGTGAGTACGTTTTTTTTTTTATATTATAGTTTTTTCTTGTATGAACTTTGCGCTTGATATTTAACTTCTC